ATCAGCAAAAAGACTGAAAACTAAGTAAAGATGCTTATTGTGACGTGGGGAGTGTGTATAGATTTTAGATGTAGGAAGGAACCATGTCAGGTGCATGGGAGGGGCCTTTTCACAACAGCCAGGAAGAGGCAGCTGCCCCTCCAGAAGCCGAGAGTCCCTGCTGTGTGGCAGGCTCTTTTACAGACACCAGAGACCTCTGTGTCAGGCTTACCTACCTGCACACTCAGCCAGGCCTAAGTCTTGCTGTTGAGGAGCCCTAGGTCCTCCTTTGGGTAGAAGCCAGCCTGTAGGGGCCAGGTCTGTCCTTAGCCCCACTCAGGTCGAGAGCCTGCTCTGAACTTGAACGTCAAGTGTTGTGGAGTGTACTTGTTCCCATGAAGCTGCCAGGTGCTTTATTGGGGGTGGAGAGAAACCCCTTGATGTTAGTTCTAAAACCAAACCATGGTGGCCTTAGTGCCCCTTACTAGGGCTGGGGGTGGAAAGACAAGCTTACTGCAAGGAGGAAAAGCCCCTGCTCCAAAGGGCAAAGCAGGCACAGCAGGAGCCAGGCTGGTCTGCAGCGCTTGCTGGCATGTGGGCGGCAGGCCAGGAGCAGTAGCCCTGGCACGGAGGCAGAAGTCCCAATCACATTGCAGACCCTTTCCCCGTGGGCCTGCAGGGCGTTGGACAGGGACCTAGAGAGGACAGGTAGCCATTTCTTTGGACATAACCTGTGTTCTCATCCTGCAATGTTCATTCACTGTCCTCCCCTTCTCAGGTGGCTGGGAAGGCTCTGCTTCCTACAAGTTGATCTTCACAGCAGGGGGCGCCATTGAGTTTGGACAACGGATGCTCCAGGTGGCATCTCAAGGTATCCAGACTCTAAAAATTAGGGGCCAAGGACACATTGAATGTGTGGGGTTTTTTGTTTGAGTTTGTATACTTTTTGTTTTGTTTTTTAAGCTCATGGGCTGATCAGGGCTGAGAATTGGGAAGGAAGCCTGTGATTAGTTTCATCTCTGTCCTGTACCCCAGAGGCTGGGTTACCCCTGCTTGGAGCAGGTACATGATGTTTTGACAGAGCTGTTCGGACTCAAGGACACTTTACTATGGCCTCATGAAAACAAAAAACCCAATCACTAAACTGCCATCAAGCAACCATTTGAAACTACCAAGCAATGAGTTCAGCAGACATTCTCACCGTTCAGTCTTCACCCGATCCCTGAGCCTCCCTCTGTCCCTCTGTCCCTCTGTCCACCCCTCCACCCTGTCCTTGACCTCCTCTGCCCTGCTCTGACCTCTCTCCCAGTCCTCTCTGCTCGCCCTGTCCCTGACCGAGGCAGACCCAGGTGTGGGTGGGGAGTGGGATGGGGTGGGTAGGGCATGTCTGCTGGGCACATTGCCAGGACCCCAGAAGCTCCCCTGGGGAAGGTAGCGGGCCGCCCTTCCCAGCCCCCGAGGCAGGAGCCACTCATTTCTCTCTCCCCTTGTGCTTATAGCCTCCAGAGGTGAAGCCCCCAATGGAGCCTATGGCTACTCTTACATGCCCAGCGGGGCCTATGTCTTTCCCCCACCAGTCGCCAATGGAATGTACCCCTGCCCTCCTGGCTACCCTTATCCACCACCCCCACCTGGTGAGTGTGTCCTTTGCTGCCCACCCTGCACCCCACCAACCCACTAACCACCAGCTCCCAGGCAGGGGGCTGTTGAGGTGACACTTGCTCTTAGACTGACTTCAGGACTAATGGAGAAGCTGGCATAGCTAGGAGGTGCCAGCTGAGGGGGCCTGGGCTGGGCTGCTCACTGGGTCCCTGTCACTTTCCTGCTGAGCAGAGTTCTTTTTTGTTTTTTATTATTATTATTATTTTTTTTTTTCTTTTGCAAGCAGAGTTCTACCCAGGACCTCCCATGATGGATGGGGCCATGGGGTATGTGCAGCCCCCACCACCGCCCTATCCTGGGCCCATGGAACCTCCAGTCAGCGGCCCTGATGTCCCCTCCACTCCTGCAGGTGAGGTCCCTAGACTGCTGCAGTCCTCTAGGACCAGCCATTTCCTCCCTGAGTTCCTGCATAGAGCCTCAGGAAACGTCTGGAGCCTGGCTGGGAGCCCCAAATCATGAACGACCCCTGGCCTAGGGATACCCCAGGGGACCAGCATGGCGGTGGCCTGGTGTAAAGAACTAGATTCCAGCCCCCCTCTGTCCCTTAGCTAGCTGCGAGCCCTGGGGCCTGGAAGGTCTCTCTCTGTCCTCAGTCTTCTCATCTACAGATGGTCGCAGCACCACCTGGTGGGGTTATGTCAAGGATTAGGTGGCGTAACACATATAAAGGATATAAAGGGACTGGAAAGGACAGTGCCAGCACATGGCGAATTTCCAGGAAATGTTAACTGCTGCTTTTGTTGGTGGAATTGGGCCCCCAGCACCAGCTGCCCCAAGTGTTGGGGGGCGCTGGGCTGAGCCCAGCTCCGGGGGAAGCTGCAGGAGGAGGAGGGGCTCGTGGCTGACGCCGGGTGTGTTTGCTCTCGCAGCCGAAGCCAAGGCCGCAGAAGCAGCTGCCAGCGCCTATTACAACCCGGGCAACCCACACAACGTCTACATGCCCACGGTGAGTGGGGGGTGAGGGCGCAAGAGCCAGCCCCCTTGGCCACAGATGCTGGAGGCGAGGGCTGGGGGAGACCTCGTTGGCTGGAACCTTCTAACGTGCTCTTTCCTTTCTTCCTTCTTCAGAGCCAGCCTCCGCCACCTCCCTACTACCCCCCCGAAGATAAGAAGACCCAGTAGACCCCTCACCCCCCATCACTTCCCACCCCTCCCCGTGGGGCAGCGTCGGGTTGAGGGTGGCGAGGAGGGCCCTGTTCTTCCTCGAGGTCTGGTTATAACTGGCCCCGTGGGAAGGGGCTGCCCCTGGAGAGGTGCCTCCTGGCTCCCACTCCAGCCTGGAGCCCGCGGCAGGTCCTCCTTGGGAGCGCGGGATGCCCCCCTTGTTCTTGTGTCGCTCTAGTAGCTTCTCCCCATGAGGGACTCTCTGGCCACCTCCTCCACTTCAGTCCAGCTCCCTCGGTCTGATAGTCACTCCACACTCAGTCTCACGAGCCCTGTCATACCAACCACGTGTCATCCCCGCAGGCCCCTGCCAGACCCCACTGACATTCCCTCCAGTGGTCTGTGTCCAGCCGTGGAAGGCCACTGTCCTGCGGACCATCAGCCATCCCAGCCCCAGTCACATCCCCTTCCCTGTCCTTGGTCATTCTCTTGCCACCCTGCGTGACTTTGGGAGCTCTCACGTGAGCTTCTGGGGTTGGGGCGGCGTGGGACAAGGTCACTGCGGCTGGGGAGAAAGCCCCACTGTTTCCCTGTCAGTGTTTCTGGAATGTGTTTTCCCTCTCGCCTCACTTCCCTCTAGCAGGGGCCTCTCGACGGGGACTGGAGAATGCATGTCTGTCCCATCACGCCATTTGGGGGCTGCTGACCGTGACCTGCGCCAGCACCTCAGCCTCCCTCTTCCCCTAAAGCTTCATGCCCCCTGGATGCACTAGAATTTTCCTTTGTTGTTCCTGGACTGACCATGAAGTGAGGAGATGGTTATTTAAAGAGAATTCCCTATTTATTTGACAAAAAATCCTGTTAATATATTAATGTGAAATAAACCCTGTTTGCACCTTGATTCGTTTGCTGAAATGTGAAAGTAAAAGTGAAGTAGCTGGACCCTTTCTGGCTGTGCGTGTGGTGACAAAGGTGAGCCCTTCCAGGAGAGCCGTCTGGCGTTGAGGACCCCGGGAGACTTGGGAAGACTGTACCTCCCCACCCAAGGGTCACTTGTTCTCAGGGCCCATTTGGTCCTCAGGACAGTTCCGGCTGGGGTCTTCATTCTGAAGGCGGTTGCTCAGCAACTGCACCCCACCCACTGAGTCCCTCAGGCCTGGCTGGGATGGTGATGCTGCTGGCCCCTGGCTGGGTGGGAGGGTGCTGGAGACAGGGGTGATTTTCTGTGTCCCAGCTGCCACGCTCCCCACCCTGGCCCCAGGTGGCTCCTCGTGGGATTGCAGCCCTGGCCTGAGTCTCAGGCTGGGTGTTGTCTGAGGGAGCAGGTGGCCTGCGCCTTCAGGAGCATGTCAGGACTCGAGAAGGCTGCCTCCTCGAAGCCTGGCTGGGACAGCTCTGCCGGGCTGGCCCCTGCAGTGTGCCCTCATGCCCCCTCCTTTGAACCTGGGCACAAGGAAAGGGTGAGACAGCCAAAGTTTATGGCCGGGTCTGTGTGTCCCCAGCCCAGGCACTGTGCACAGGATCAGCGGGTTGCGGAGTTCTGGGAAAGCACAGTGCTGAAGTGTCCCATTTTCCTGTCTCTTGTGGACCAAGGCCACCCTCTTGAGAGGGACTAGGCAGCTTGGCCTCACAGCTCTGCCTGCTGGCCAGCCCCGCCCAGGAGCTCTCAGGTTTGGCAAACCCTCTACAAGGGCATTTAAAGGGTGCACTCTCCTGATCATCACAACTTAGTCCCATCACCTCTGTGGAATGTCACCTGTGGGGTGGAGCAGGCTGAGCAGTTGGCTGCCCGCTGGGGAGACACCTCTCAGGAATGCCCCCCCAGCCCTTCTCCCCACCCCCACCCCCTCCACTCCCTCCCTGCACCGGTCTGGGGCCCGTTGAGAGAAGTCTGGGGTGAGAAGCCCATGGGTCAGGTCAGGTACCCTCAGTTCCCAGCTAGCCTGGGCACAGCACATGGATGGAGCAGGGCGGTGCCCAGACTAGCCCTGCCACCCTCTCCCCAGGGCCTCTGCAGGGGCGGGGGGGGGGGGGGGCCCGCCCCCCCACCAGTCCATCTGCTCCAGCCTGGAGAGGATCCTTGTGGGATCCCAGCCGGAGGGAGGTGCAGGGGCCTGGGACTCGGCCCCTCAAAGACGATGAAACCCTGACCCTTCCACCCGCCTCACGTCCTCCTCCGTTTCCCCCGCCGCCCTCCCTCCACTCTTTCCTATCAGAGGGCGGCAGCCCCGGGGCTCTTTGCACAATCCTGTGGCTTGCTGCCTTCACTCAGCAGCAGAGGGGAAGGGCAGAGCCAGCCACCATGGCGACACTCTTCTCCCACCCCCAGCGGCGCCCTCCCCTCTTACGCCAGGCCATCAAGATAAGGCGCCGCAGAGTCAGAGATCAGCAGGAGCCCCTGTCCCAACCAGCCCAGGAGGTAAATCAGTGGGGAGAGGAGGCAGCCTGGGGCCTGGGTGCAGGAGCCGGGCTGTGTGGCCCCACCTCTCAAAGGCTGGGACTGAGGACAAGGACCCCAAGCCTTCCCTCCTACCCCAGCCCCTGGCCAGAGCCTTCTAGGCCAGCTGGGTTCCTCCATGTGTACTCTGGATCACCGTGGGCCCTGGGTCTGGGGGCTGAGCCTCTCTGAACCCTCTCTCTGGCGGGCCTGACCCTCTGTCCCCCATTCCTTCAGTGCAGAGGCACCGGCTCCATTAGACAGGAGGTGTCCCTGCTGTGGGGTGGGCTACTTGGGGACCGGCTGAGCAGCCCCCAGGCCTGCTCGGCATCCCCCCCCCATCTCCCACCTCCGCTGCTGGGCCTCACTTCCGCCGCTGGGGTGAGGAGCCCGCCGATAAGCAGCGCTGTTTCCTCTGGGGAAGGAAGGGTTGGGGTGCGGAGTGGAGGGTGTGCGCCGCTGGGCCAGCTGAGCGCCCATGGACCTCAGCCACAGCGGGCCCGGGGACCAGGAAGATGGCCCAGGGGCCGGGCCCCCAGGAGGCCTGCTTTGGGAACAGGTTCGGGGCACTGGTGGGGATGGAGGCTGGGAGCTGGGGCCCCTGCTTTCCTAGGCCTGCACCTGGCCTCCCGGGACACCTTGTCTTTCCACCTTGCTCCCCAGATTCGGCCTCCATCTCACCACCTCTCCCCCAAGGAGGTAAGAGTCGGAGTGTTGGGGGCGCAGAGAGGCATGGGGACCAGCCCTGCATCCTCCTGAACGCCCCCCTCAGCTACTGGTCAAAGCCGATGGCAGCAGCCTGGTGGTGGGGAGGGGACTTGTGGGAATCAGCCCCTCCACTGTAGGCATGAGGTGTCGGTGCCCAGGGTGGTGGGTGGTGGGTGGTGGTTCCTGAGGTGACCCCGCTGTGTCTCAGCGGGCCCTGCTCTACGAGGAAGCTCTCTACACCGTCCTGCACCGCCTGGGCCAGCCGGAGCCCAACCATGTGGTGGAGGCCTCTGAGCTGCTGCGATACCTGCAGGAGGTGAGCCCAGCCCCCACCCCCACCCTGTGCCCCCAGCCTCCCCCACTCCTGCCACACCATCGACCTCCCCCCCAGGCCTTCCACATGGAGCCCGAGGAGCACCAGCAGATGCTGCAGCGGGTCCGGGAGCTCGAGGTACCCTGGGCCAGGGCCACCCTAGGCAAGGAGGGTACTGGGAAGCCCAGCTCTCTCTGGGACTCAGCCCACTGCCTCCTGTCCCTCCAGAAGCCCATATTTTGTCTGAAAGCAACAGTGAAACAGGCCAAGGGCATTCTGGGCAAGGATGTCAGTGGTGAGTATGGGGTGGGGTCCTGAGGGGCCCCTTTCTGGCTCCTTCCTCTCCCCATCCCAGTCTGACCCAGACATCCCCAGGACTCGCCCCAGGGCTGCAGGCCCCTCGCACGCGGGGTCTGGGCCCCTTCCCACCCATTCCCTTTCCCTCCACAGGATGAGGTTGAGCCCCTGGGGTGGGGTTGATGAGGGCCCCCCCGTGGAAGCCCAGCCGATTCCTTGGCTGCCTCATGCTCCCCCTCGTCTCCAGGGCTCAGTGACCCCTACTGCCTGCTGGGCATCGAGCAGGGGGTGGGTCTGCCGGGAGGCAGCCCTGGGTCCCGGCGTCGGCAGAAGGCAGTGGTGAGGCACACCATCCCCGAGGAGCAGACCCACCGCACCCAGGTCATCGCCCAGACACTCAACCCTGTCTGGGATGAGACCTTCATCCTGTACGTGGCCCTGTCCAGCCCCCACCCTGTCTGGGGCTCCTCTGGGGGGCAGGGTGTCCCCCAGTCAATGAGTTCAGCAGGTCTTCCTGGCTCAGGGAAGGGGGCTCAGCCCTGGGCAAAGATGAGGAGGAGCCTGCTCTCAAGGCAGGGTGGACAGACAGGTCAGACAGGACAGGCCATTGTCATAAATGCCACCTGTGCTGGTGAGGCAGGAGGTCAGGCCCCTCTGGGTGAATGTGGGGGATAAGCCTTACCCTAAAGCAGGGGGAGATGCAGTTAGGAGAGGAGGAGTTGGGCAGAGAGACGCTAAGGCTCCACAGCAGTGATGACACTGGGGATGACAGCTTTGAGGGACAGGCTCTGGGCTGGCTGGGCTTGCTCATGGCCTGATCTGATGGAGGAACATCTACCTCTCCAAGGCCCTCAGTCATGCTCTTTTCTCCATACAGGGAGTTTGAGGACATAACCAATGCTAGCTTTCACCTGGACATGTGGTGAGTGATGCCCCTAGGGATGGGGAAGAGAAGAGGGCCTGGGGTGAGGGTGCCAGAGCCTCCTCCTCCAAGGGGTGATGGGGACCCCCCCTGCCTCCTCCTCAAACCTCTGCCCCACCAGGGACCTGGACACCGTGGAGTCTGTCAGACAGAAGCTTGGGGAACTCACAGATCTGCATAGGCTGCGAAGGTGCCTGCCGAGGGGTCACGGGGAAGGAGTGGGCTCCTCGGCCCTGCCCCCACACACACTAGATGCTGGGCCTGGGTGGTCACAGATGGGGGGCAGATTCCAGCCCATCCCTTTGGGGGCTTGGCCCATCTCTCTCATGAGACCCTGCCTGAAACAGGATCTTCAAGGAGGCCCGCAAGGACAAAGGCCAGGATGACTTTCTGGGGAACGTGGTTCTGAGGCTGCAGGTGAGGGGGGTGGGGAAGGGCCCAGGAGAGAGGGAGAGGGAGAGGCCCTGGTGAGGGGCTTCAGGTCTGCACCAAGCAGAGCCCAGAGTCTGCCTCCCATCGCCTCCTCTGCCCCCACCTTGATGCAAAGTCCTGACACTTGGCCCGGGCATCTCTTCCTGCCAGGACCTGCACTGCCGAGAGGACCAGTGGTACCCCCTGGAGCCTTGCACTGAGACCTACCCAGACCGTGGCCAGTGCCACCTCCAGTTCCAGCTCATTCACAAGCGGGTAGGTCCGGGGTCTGGCCCAGCCCCACTTCCTCAGTGGCCCAACTGGGTTGGGGAGGGCTGGCTGTACCCAGTGTAGGGGCCTCTCTGCTCATGGCCATGCTGGCCCCATTGCAGAGAGCCACCATGGCCAGCCACTCCCAGCCCAGCTACACGGTGCACCTCCATCTCCTGCAGCAGCTTGTGTCCCACGAGGTCACCCAGCACCAGGTACTGCCCTCCCAGGGCTGGGCACAGCCAGGGCTGCCTGTCAGGTCCTGACCCCCTCCACCTGTTCCCCTCAGGCAGGCAGTACCTCCTGGGATGGGTCACTGAGTCCACAGGCCGCCACCATCCTTTTTCTCCACGCCACGCAGAAGGACCTGTCTGACTTCCACCAGTCCATGGCGTGAGTGCACAGTCCTGCGCGGAACCCTGAGGGGCCGGGGGGCAGCCACCAGCCTTTCCCACCCTGCCTGTCCTCCCTCAAGCTGACAGCCCGAAGTCTAACCCTCAGGAGAGTTTTCTTTGGTCCAAACTGTGCGTTTTAAGTTTTGAATCAGATGCCAGCTTCTAAGAATCTGGAGGTTTCACGTGCGGATCCAGATCTGCAGCTTCTCATGAACAGTGAGCTCTGGAGTTGCAGGGCTGTCACTGTGCCATGCTGCAGTTGACCAGAGCAGAGCTGCATGTTGTCCTGTGTCCATCACACTTGCCATCAGGCCCACGTCACTCCCTCACATCTGAGTCCTTCTGGGCACTTGAGCTTGCCACCCCTGCCCCAGACCCCGCCTGTATCCCAGCGCCACAGCCTTCAATTCAGCAAGTGCATGTGCTGATGAGAACGAAGTGATTGTTAGGGCCCGGCTGTCCCTGTGCCGTGGCAGGTTCTGGGACTGCCAGGACGGGCCCATGGGAGCCAGACACATTCCAGTGCGTAGGAGAAGCACAGAAGTGGAGCACAGCCAGGGTGTGGCCGGGGAGGAGCGAGCGCAGGATGGTGCGTGAGTGGGAGGGGGGACGAGGTGGGGGCAGCACGCCTGCCTCTAGGACCTCAGGCAGGTGGCCGTCCCTGGACACGGGGGGATGGAGGTGAGGCTGGACACTGGGGCGGCCACCAGGTGCTAAGGGGCCTGGTATGCTGGCAGGGCCCAAGTACATAATGCAGGTGGCAGCCGTGCCCGGTTGGGACTTCAGCCTGTCCTGGGGTGCTCCTGTCCCCATTCCCCGGCCCCCCCACTGGGACCCTGTCCAGCTCAGTCGGTACCTCTGTGAAGTCTCCCCTGAACAGTCTGAAAGGAAATTCCAGCTGATGTTTGCCATATGTGCACAAAGGCTCAAGTCCCTAAATCTGACTTTTCAAAAGAAGCAAGAAATCCTGAATTTTATTTATTTATTTATTTTTTTAAAGATGACCGGTAAGGGGATCTCAACCCTTGGCTTGGTGTTGTCAGCACCACGCTCAGCCAGTGAGCGAACCGGCCATCCCTATATAGGATCTGAACCCGCGGCCTTGGTGTTATCAGCACCACACTCTACCGAGTGAGCCACGGGCCGGCCCGAAATCCTGAATTTTATTTATTTATTTATTTATTTATTTATTTATTTATTTATTTATTTATTTATTTATTTATTTATTTATTTATTTATTTTTTTAAAGATGACCGGTAAGGGGATCTCAACCCTTGGCTTGGTGTTGTCAGCACCACGCTCAGCCAGTGAGCGAACCGGCCATCCCTATATAGGATCTGAACCCGCGGCCTTGGTGTTATCAGCACCACACTCTACCGAGTGAGCCACGGGCCGGCCCGAAATCCTGAATTTTAAAATCACAAACATCCCAATTTAAGAGGGGAGTGGTTTGAAAAACCTCTATGGAAACAAAAAAATCCTGTGGGTCACCCTCAGCCACTGATTTTCAGCCTCTCCGGGCAGAAGGGGCTCCACTGGGGGATTTGGAGCAGGGAGGTGCTGTCCCTCCATCTGGGGCGGGGGCTGAGGGCTCCTGTCTGCTGCAGGCAGTGGTTGGCCTACAGCCGCCTCTACCAGAGCCTGGAGTTCCCCAGCAGCTGCCTCCTGCACCCCATCACCAGCATCGAGTACCAGTGGATCCAGGGCCGGCTCAAGGCAGAACAGGTGGGCTTGGGGTGGGGCAAGGGGTGCTGGACGGGCAGGGCTGGGGGGAGAAGGGGAGCAAGAGAGGCTGTCTGGGTCCCTCAAGCAACTCTCGCCTCGTGCCATCTTCCTGGCTCTGCAGCAGGAAGAGCTGGCCACCTCGTTCAGCTCCCTGCTGGCCTACGGCCTCTCCCTCATCCGGAGGTTCCGGTCCGTCTTCCCCCTCTCTATCTCCGACTCCCCAGCCCGGCTGCAGTCTCTCCTCAGGTCAGCAGCTGCCCCTTCCCCTTCCTCAGCGGGGTCAGGAACCAGGGAGCGGTGGGGGCACCTGCGGGGTGGAGGCGGCCTGCTGGAGGAAGGAGTGGCGGGTGTGGGATGGCAGGCATTTTGGACACGGCCCCCTGTGTCACAGGGTCCTAGTACAGATGTGCAAGATGAAGGCCTTTGGAGAGCTGTGCCCAGACAGCGCCCCACTTCCTCACCTGGTGACCGAGGCCCTGCGGGTATGGTACCAGCCTGGGGATGGGGAAGGATGTGCCTGGGCCCAGCACCCCTCCCTGCTCACTGCCTCTTTGCCAACAGACCGGTACCATTGAATGGTTCCACCTGAAGCAGCAGCACCATCAGCCCATGGTGCAGGTGAGGGGCTGGGGCAGGGGGTGGAGTGAGGTGCCTGCCCCTTGCTGCCCTGCTCAGCTCACCTCTGTCCCTGCCAGGGCATACTGGAGGCGGGCAAGGCCTTGCTGAGCTTGGTTCAGGACATCATTGGTGACCTGCACCAGTGCCAGCGCACGTGGAACAAGATCTTCCTCAAGTGAGCAGACAGCTGGGGGGAGGCAGTGGTGCAATGGCCCAGAGTGGGGACTGGAGGGACCCTGCTGTGTGCCACTGGGTCATGCCCACTGCCTTTCTTCCAGTGCCCTCAAGATCGACTTCTTCCCCACGGCCTTCCTGGAGCTGCAGTGGCTGGTGAGTCCCTCTGCCATCTCCAGGTGCGCCCTCTGCCCGGGCTCTGCTGCCCTGCCCACCTGACCTTTCCTTCGCAGGTGGCCAAGAGGGTGCAGGACCACACGGCAGCGGTGGGCAGCTCCGTGTCCCTGGAAATGGGCGAGAGTCTGTTCCAGCTCTACGTCAGCCTCAAGGAGTTCTGCCAGCTGGGCCCACTCCCCTCCAAGAGGTGGGCAGCAGGCGGGTTGCCAGGTGCACAGGGGAGAAAAAGGGGTTGGCCAGGGCCCGGGACCTGCAGCTGGCCTTGGCCTTCCGCAGGCTGAGCTGGCTTTCTCTAGGGAAGGAGTCCTGGCCCTGGACGGTTTCCACCGTTGGTTCCAGCCAGCCATCCCCTCCTGGTTGCAGAAGACGTACAGTGTGGCCCTGGCACGGGTGCAGCGCGCAGTGCAGATGGATCAGGTAGGGCTGGGGATGGGGCCTGGGTTTAGGGGTGGATCTGGGGGGGGCTCTGCCTGGACCTTGAGGACCCACACTGAACATTCCCTCTGGGCGCTCTTGAAGCCAGTTGTGTGCAGAATGCTGCCTGCTGATATCCTTGGGGTAACTGTGGCCAGGGGGGTTAACTGCAGCCTGGGGGATCTGGGCAGAGCCTTACCTGTCCCCATGTAGCACCCACCCAGCTCTGTGCTTAGCAGTGGTAGCTGCTCTGTGAATGCTTAGGAAGGAAGGAGGGAGGGGATGGGTTTGGCAGTGATCGGAGCTCTCCTTTCTAAGTGCTCCCCCTTCCCCCAGCTGGTGCCCCTGGGTGAACTGATCAAGCATAGCACGTCAGCTGTGGACCTGTCCACTTGCTTCGCTCAAATCAGCCACACCGCCCGGCAGCTGGACTGGCCGGACCCAGAGGAGGCCTTCATGATCACCGTCAAGTTTGTGGAGGTACAGCATCTTTCACTGTGTCCTTCCCACTTTTCTAGGACAGCCTCACTATTACCCCACCCTGTTTCTCCCAAGCTGTCACATTAGCAGCCTCCCAAGGCCTGTGTGCTAAGCTCCCAAGTCACTGAGATTCCCATGCCCCCCCGCACCCTTCCTGGGTGCCCCACCCATGGATCAATCCCCTGTGACCCACCCTGCCCCAGGATACCTGTCGGTTAGCCCTGGTGTACTGCAGCCTTATCAAAGCCCGGGCCCGCCAGCTCTCTGAAGGCCAGAAGGACCAGGGCCAGGCAGCCAATATGGTAAGGGCCAGAGCTGGGGGATGGGAGGCTGGCCAGGATGGGGATGGAGCCTCCTCGGCATCTCCATGCCCGTGCCTGCCCCCAGCTGTGCGTGGTGGTGAATGACATGGAGCAGCTGCGGCTGGTGATCGGCAAGCTGCCCACCCAGCTGGCATGGGAGGCCCTGGAGCAGCAGGTTGGAGTCGTGCTGGAGCAGGGGCAGCTGCAGAACACGCTACATGCCCAGCTGCAGTGTGCACTGGCTGGCCTGGGCCACGAGATCCGCACCGGCGTCCGCACCTTGGCCGAGCAGGTACCTGCCTTGTCGGATCCCACAGTGACCACACCCTGCTCTATCTTCAGCCTGAAGCCTGACCCCCAGCAGGAGTGGACTGATGTCCAGACCCTGGTCCTTCCTGAACCTAAACTCGGGCCTCAAACTCTCCTGATCTCCCACTAATGCCCTGGCCTGCCTCCTGCTTACCGTTTTGTGTTCCCAGCTGGAGGCGGGCATCGCCAAGCACATCCAGAAACTTGTGGGCGTCAGGGAGTCTGTCCCACCTGAGGATGTGAGTGACACTTCTGCTAGCTGACCTTCCCTGCCCTGCCAGCTGTGGGTCTGGGGTCATGAAGGGGGTTCAGGGTGGGCAGGGGGCAGAAGGCCTTGGGGTGTCAGAGATAAGTCCCTGTGCTTGGGGGAGCCATGTCCTCTCCCTGGGCCTCAGTTTCCTCCGTGGATGCCAAGGGGGTGGGTTTGGGTCACCCTCCTAGCACTGACGGTCGGTGCAGGGGCTGCAGCGGGGGAGGGCTAAGGCTTTGCAGCCAAACAGGCCTGGGCGTCCGTCCTTCCAGCTGCCTCCTAGCATTGCTGTTCTCAGTTTCCTCATCTGTAAGTGGGGATAGGAATGTGCACCTTTGTTTTTTTCATTTTGGGGTGTTTTTTTTTTTAAAGATGACCAGTAAGGGGATCTTAACCCTTGACTTGGTGTTGTCAGCACCACGCTCACCCAGTGAGCAAACCGGCCACCCCTATATGGGATCCGAACCCGTGGCCTTGGTGTCATCAGCACCGCACTCTCCCGAGTGAGCCATGGGCCGGCCCTAGGAATGCACACCTTTGATTGTTTGAGGGAAGGTTATTCATTAATTCAACTATGTCATAAGCACCTACTTTGTCCTGGCATTGATTTAAGCATTGGGGATAGGTCACCAAACACTGTGACAAAAATTCCTGCTTTGCTAGAGCTTGGGGCTGGCCGGTTGGCTCATTTGATTAGAGCGTGGTGTTGATAACACCAAGGCCACGGGTTCGGATCCCTGTACCAACCAGCTGCCAACAACAACAAAAACAAAGTCTAGAGCTTACATTCTAGTAGGGAAGTGAAAGAAGAGCTAAATAAATAAATATGTATAACTGTAATGATAGTTATAACTATAAATATAGTACAGATGTTTACGAGTAAGTGCACACACATGTACAGTGTGTTAGATCATAATTGCTAAAGAGAAAAATAAAACAGAGGTGGGGTAGGAAGTGTCAGAGGGCTCTATTTTTAGAGAGTGGCCAGGGAAGGCCTTACTCAGAGGGTGACAGCTGAGTCGATACCTACAGGAAGCAAGGAAAGGAGCCATGAGGACTTCTAGGAGAGAGCATGCCGGGCAGAGGGAACGGCAAGAGCAAAGGTCCTGAGGCAGGACTCTGCCCAGCAGGTTCAGGGCTATAGAAGAGGCCAGTGTGGCTGCAGCAGACTAAGCAATGGGGAGAGGAAGGCAAAGGGGTGGGCAGGAGACATTACAAACGTGCTCATCAAAGCTCCTGGCTCCAGCTCAGGGGTGGGAATCAGGGTGGGACTCGAATGCGCCAGAGCCTGACGCTCTCTACTCCCCTCCCCAGGCCATTCTGCCCCTGATGAAGTTCCTGGAGGTGAAGCTCTGCTACATGAACACCAACTTGGTGCAGGAGAACTTCAGCAGGTCTGCAGCCGCCCTGCCCTGGGGCGCCCCCCACCTCCACCTCTCCTCCCATCCGCCCCCCTTCCTGGGCCTCAGCATCCATTCTCCGTGTGTCGGGGGCGGGGGCGTGAATCCCTTTGGAGACCTCCCTTAGAGGGTGCAACCAGCCTCTGCTCAAATGCCCACTCCTGGGGACAGGGAGGTCATTACCTCACAAGCCCGCGCATGTCATGCTGCCCAGCTCTGAGCGCTGCAAGTTCTTCCTCTGGCGGAGCTGAAATTTGTCTGTCCTTTCTCCTGTCCCGTCTTCAGGGCTTCCCCGACTGCTTCTCTGCCCTCCTAACATCACAGGCACAATCCAGGGGGAATTCTATTCAGGGTCACCAGGCTGCAGGGAGTGCAGGTCAAGAGCACGGGCTCTGGACCACCTAGGTTCAGACTCCAGCTTCACTACTACTTGGTGGCCTTGGGCGGTTGCTCAGGTTTTCAGTGCAGATGACAGTAGTTCTGGCCTCTACCAAGGATTAAATGGGTCACATGAAGTGCTGAGAGCAGTGTCATACAAAGGAAGTGGTCAATGGCTGTGAGCTGTAGTGACAACGACAATGACGACGATCCACCTCCACGTGGAAGGAGCTGCTAGGGCCCCCTCTTAGGGTTCTGCTCTGCTCCACTGGCACAGCGGGCTACGGGAGCCCAAACGTCTTTATTTCTTAGGCCATACTATGTCACTTGCTCAGCTTTTTTTTCCACGTAAAACAGAATTAAATCTCTCCACCAAGACGGGAACTTCACTCGGGCTGTCTGAAAAGCCTTTAGAACAGTGGCTGGTGCATAACGGCACTTAACTGTATTGAATAAATAAGTTCATTAACTACTTTTACTATTTTTATTTATTTATTTCTGGCAGCTGGTTGGTGCAGGGATCTGAACCCTTGACCTGGTGTTATAACACCGTGCTCCAACCAACTGAGCTAACCGGCCAGCCCCTCATTAACCGCTTTTAGTATGGGCCTCCCCCATTGTTAATGACACAGTACATTTTTTGTGTGCTTAACTGCCAGACTCTACTTTGACATGTGTCAGATTTCAGTTATTTCAGGTGGTTGTCAGGACTGGGTCTTGGTCACTATTTTATTCTCCCCAAAAGGTAGTAGATGCTTATCCCTGCTGGGTGTTGAGATCCTATTTCTTTTGGCCTCCCTGGCCTCTCCCCCCACCCTGGCCTTGTCTGCTGGGGTTCTATAGTTCTGCTGAGGAGGACTCTTCAGTGAGGGTGAGAGACAGGTTGGATGGGACTATCTGTCTGTCCCCTGCTGGTCCTCCTTCCCTCAGACCAGCCCGACCTCCCTCCCTACACTGCCTGCCAGCCCTGGTCCAGCCCCATCTGTGGGGCAGGTGGAGCAGGTGGAGGGTGGGGGTGGGGAGGAGTTGGGGCAGGCCTGGGTCCCCGAGGCCTCCCTTTCTCAAGAGCATCTTTGCTTCCTCCACCTCCGTCGTCCTGTCCCGTGTCCGGCATCCCCATCCCTGGTCCAGCCTTCTGACCCTGCTTTGGACCCACACACTCACGGTGCTGGTGGAGGCAGCTGCTTCCCAGCGCAGCTCGTCCCTGGCCTCTAGCAGGCTGAAGATCGCCCTGCAGGTAATGATACTAGCCACAGCGACAAGAGCCCTGGTGGGAGAGTGCCTCAGGTTACCTCTGCTGTCTCCCTCCAGAACCTGGAGATCTGCTTTCATGCTGAGGGCTGTGGCCTGCCGCCCGAGGCCCTCCACACGGCCACCTTTCAGGTAGGGAACTTTTGGTGAGCTCGCAGGTAAGGAGGTCAGGGGAGCCTGCCTTTCTGCGCTCACTTGTGTCCAAGACCGGCTATATAATTTATGGGGCCCTGGGCAAAATGACAAGAGGTGGACCTCCTTATTCAAAAATTATTAGAAATTTTCAAACAGTGATGGCAGAGTATTAAACCAAGCATGGAATCCTTCTAAGCACAGGGGTCCTGTGTGACGGGGTGGGCGGGGGCGGGGCATACCCATAAAGCCAGCCCTGTCTGTGCCTTGGTCCTGCCGTCGTCTGCCTGGGCATTCCTGTGAGTGCGCCCAGAGCTTTCCATTTCAAATGGATGTCTCGCCCCCTCACTGTGAGCTTCAGAAGGGCAGGGGTGGGCTGTGGCTAGGTGTGATAGGTCATTCTTGGATATGCTCCGTTCCCAGGCTCTGCAGAAGGACCTGGAGCTACAGGCGGCCACCAGCCGGGAGCTCATTCAGAAGTACTTCTGCAGCCGCATCCAGCAGCAGGTGAGGCTCCCCCTTCTGCTGCACCCACTGAGGGCCCTGGAGCCCCACCTCACCCTGCTCTGCCCCAACTGACCCTGTGCATGCTCCCACTCAAGGGAGAAACCACCTCTGAGGAGCTGGGGGCTGTCACGGTTAAGGCATCCTACCGCGCATCAGAGCAGAAGCTGCGTGTAGAGCTGCTCAGCGCCTCCAGCCTGCTGCCCCTGGACTCCAATGGTGAGTGGAGGCTGCCCATTGGCCGCTCTTCATGTCCCTGTCCTGTCCTTCCTGTCCAAGAGTCCCTGGGGGCTCTGCTCACCTGGTAGGAACTCTGGATGCATTCCCTCCAGTTACCAGGAGGGGTCAGTGCTGAGTGGGGCATATCTGTGGGAGGTGGGGATGGGAGCTGGGACACCCTCAGCCAACACCCCCTCCTTTCCTGGGCCACTTACCAGGCTCCAGCGACCCCTTTGTCCAGCTGACCTTGGAGCCCAGGCATGAGTTCCCTGAGCTGGCCCCCCGGGAGACCCAGAAGCACAAGAAGGACCTTCACCCGCTGTTTGATGAGACCTTTGAATTGTGAGTGGGTCCCCACTCTTCTCCCAAGCTCCTCCCTTCGCTCCCCCCAACCCCCATACACCCTCAAGCCTACTCCTCCTGGCTGTGGCCACCTCTAATTTGGGCCTGAGCGGGGGCACCTGGGACAAGAGTTTGCTTCCCACGTTGGACTCAGAGGCTTCCAGGGAAGGGTGCTGTCCCTGATGGCCCAGAGGCACCAGGCTGAGAGCTGACAATCCTTACTCCGCCATTTGTGGCGTGTCTCTCCTGCCCTGGCCTGTCCTTAACTATGAGGGTTGGACCCATGTGTTGGGGTTGGGGTGATGGCAATGCTGGGTGGGCAGCTGAGTCTCTGACTGTCCCCGCCAGCCTGGTGGCTGCTGAGCCGTGCCGGAAGGACGGGGCCTGCCTGCTGCTCACTGTGCTGGACCATGACACGCTGGGGGCCGATGACCTGGAGGGGGAGGCCTTCCTGCCGCTGTGCAAGGTGCCCGGGCTGACTGGCTCAGAGGAGCATGGCGAGGTGCCTCAGACCCGCCTGCCTCTCACGTACCCTGCACCCAACGGTAGGCCTGAGCCCAGGGCAGGGAGGTGCAGGGTGGGATGTGCCTCCTGGGAGATGGAAACCCAATGGAAAGAGAGCCAGGGCAAACTTCTTGGCTGAATTGAGAGACCAGTGACATTTAGGCTAGGGGAAGTGTAACATGGCTCTCCCTGGCCAAGGAAGCTCACCAAGTCTACCTGGGCAGAGGGGCCTGGACCTCGCTGAGCAGGGGCATATCCCACCAGCTTGCTAAGAGGAATAGTTCACCTGCTCGCACACTGATTAGGAGCCAGTTCTAAGCACTTTACAGATGTTAACTCTTCCAGTTCTTACGACCAGCTGATGAGGCAGGTATTATTATTAGCACTATTTTATGGATGAATAAACTGAAGCATAAAGAGGTGAGCTAGCTAGCTTTAGGTTCTCACAGAAACAGGCCGTAGTCCCAGCTGCTGGCACGTCTCGGCCTCTCGCACTGCCTCTCCCCGGGTCTGGCAGTCTGACCCCCACACCCCTCTCTCCGCAGGGGATCCGATCCTGCAGCTGTTGGAGAGTCGCAAGGGTGATCGCGAGGCCCAGGCCTTTGTAAGGCTGCGGAGGCAGCGAGCCAAGCAGGCCTCCCAGCATATTCCACGGTCAGGGCGGTAGCAGTGGAGGTTGGGGGTGGGGCCTGGTAGAGCTTTCTGTAAGGTCTGGGTCTTCCCCACCACAGCACAGCACTCCAGCCCAGCCTAACACTCAAGAGAGCCCAGAGTTCAGGTCCTCTCTGGTCCTCCTGCCAGAGCAGGGGCCCTCGGTAATGGGGCACCATTAGCGATATTTATACTCCTTCCTCCCTCCCTCAAGCCCTGCCTTAGTGTTCTCTGCCACATCCTAGCACCGGGGGCATCTTCTGCCTCTGCTCCCCTCTTGGAAGAGCTGCTCTGGTGAGGCAAGGTCCTGGGCCAGCTGTCTTCCCACCTGCCTATTCCAGCCACTGAGGCTGTGGGCACAGAATCTCCTGGGAGCGGGAGAGGGGACCCTGCTAAAGTTGAGGTTACAGCTACCCTGGGGAAGGAGGGGTGGAAGCCATTACTTGAGGGTCCTCTCCCCAGGGGCTGTCAGCTCCCAGGCTAAGAAGCCTGAGGCCAAGGACCTTCTGGCTCTGGAGTGAGAGCTGGCAGGCAGCAGGATTTGGGAAAGAGGGACAGAAGCAGAAAGGACAGTTTGGCTAGCTCTATCTGCTGAGAACACCTCTTCCTTAGGACAGCACCTGCCACCTAGAAACTTTCTTAGCAAAATTAAAAAACAAACTCTGTTGTCCTCCTAGAAAATATACTGTTGGCTTACACTGGGGCCTAGACGGCCACCGTCAGTCCACAGAGCCTGCTCTCCAGCCCTCAGGAGACCTTTAGCTGCTCCCACCCTGGGGCCTGGCCCATCCTCATTCCCCCATGCTACAAAGCAGGGAGGTGGGTGTAGGGGTTGCTGATGCAGAAGCAGGGGTGGGGGTGACCAGCATTACTAGTACTTTGGCCATGGGCTTTGAACATATCACATTCTACCACATGAATTTCTGTGGTTGCTGCCCAGGACTGGGGCCTGTTCCTGCAGCACCATGAGCAGGGCCTCTCAGGGATGCAGGTTGAGGCTGAGTGGCTGCTCTAGACAGCAAAGCTTAGAGTAGCTGGGCCCCAGCCTTGCCGGGGCAAGTGGCCCCTGTGCACTGGGCGTCGGAACCTGAGGCCCAGTCATCATTCTAGCTGTGTGACCCTGGATGAGTCGCTTAACTCCTGCGTTAACCTCTGCATCTGTACAAGATGACAGGAGGCTGAAGTTAGATAAGATGATCTCCAAGGCCCCTTTCAGCTGCAAACCTGAGACCATACACAAAGAGGATGCCACAAGGGTGTGTTTCTCACCCCACCTCACAGCCCAGCTAGGAGCAGGGGGTGGGAGGTCAGGGCTCTTCAAACCTGGGCCCCTCATCCCTCGGGACAGGGTGGGGTGAGGTGGGGGAAAGCAGGACACTTCCTGTGGGCCCCACTGGCAAATCTGTCTGTTCCTCTGAGAAACAAGTAGGGTCCCTGTTGCCTTTTAGTAAACACCAACAATAAGTAAACCAATCATAGCTGGCAGCACAGCCCAGAACAGAAGAAGCGTAGGGGCTGGGAGGTCTCTGTGTCTGAGGCTAAAGGTCCCCACAGGCCTGGGGCAGTGAGGGCCTGGAGCTGCCTGTGGGCCTGGGTGGGTCTAGGGAGCCCAGGCCTCTGCGGCCTCTTGGCTCAGAGGCCTCATTCAGGCCCCCACTTCCCCTCCCCCCATGTAAACAAGCTACCACTGCAAGTTTGTATTTTATTTCCAATAGGTTTGGAGCTTTGTTGATTTTTGCATTTTTGTAAAAAAGGAAAAAGTTTTCACTTAATTCATTGAAAGCCCTTTCGTGCTGAGCACAAGGGAGGGCCTGGGCCTGGGCCTGGGCCAGACCCTTCGCAGCCCTCTTGCTCCCGCCCCAGACACCCAATGCTGGGAGCGGGGCTCACTTCCCTCCGCCCACTCTGCCCTCCCGCCCCTGCTGCATCTCTCTATACAGAACAATTTTTAAAATGGAAGCTAAGACAATATACACGGGACAGGCACGCACACACATGCACACAGGCGCCTGCCCACAATGGGACAGGGCGTCAGCTGCACTCTGAGAGCACCAAGGAATGCATCCAGAGCCCTCCTGGAGAGGAGGGCAGGGCCTGAGCCCCCCTTGGTCCTCAGTCCGCACTCCTCCCTACCACTTGCCCTGCTAGCTGCCAGAGGAGGGGCGGACAGCACGGAGCGCCGTGCCAGAGAGGGGAGGGGGCAGGGACAGCTGAGGGCAGCTGGGGGTCATAGAAAGGGCACTGCCAGCCTGGGAGGTGGCCCTGGGGCCAGGGAGGCTATTCTGGGGAGTCTAGGGGGAGAGGACCGAGGGTGGACCCCAGGCTTCAGGAACCTGAGGAAGAGAACTCCTGGGCCTTGCCCCTTGAGGAGCTTCAAGGGCCCAGATGTTGGGAATGGGGCTGGCCCTGTGGCTCTGGCCCGCCAGCCCTGCTCTTCTCCCCAGGCCTAAACACATTTGGTAAACCTAGGAGCTAGGCTGGTTTAGACCCCAACACACCCCATCAGACCTCCCAGAGGCCCTCACAGCTGGGAACCAGGTCTGCCCTGGCAGACCTGAGTCTTCCACACCCCTGACACTTGCCCTGGCCTGGGGAGGCAGGGTGAGCAGGGCCTGCCCTGAAGGCTTCTCCCCTCCCCTCAGCCCCTGCCAGCTTCCCACCCTTCCCTGCTCAGGCCCCAGGAAGAAGTTAAAAATAGTTAGTTCCTATGTAAAAAAGACATATTCTCTGCCAAAAGACCAGTGGGAGAAGAGGGGACTTTGTTTCCACAGTTGGAAGGGTAGGGAGTGGGCAGGGGAGGACTGCAAAATAGTTTTTTTCTTTTAAAAAGTGCTTGGTAAGTCTTTTTTAAAGTGTGTGTCTATATCTATATACAGATATACACACAGACACTGTTCACACGCTGGCCATCCACGCATACCTGCACACATACAGAAATGTATACATATACAGAATCATATACATATACATACATACATACATACATACATATATATATATATATATATACACTTTAAAAAAGTCCTAGATGAGAAGATCTGGGCCAGGCCGGGCCAGGCCTGCAGCGTCACGACTGGAGGGCATGGGCCCGGCCGGGCTGGCAGACAGGGCACTCGCTGCCCTCGGCACAGAGCTCGCACAGCACAGCGTGTTGGCATGGCAGCACCGCCCGGTTCTGCTCCTGACACTTAAGGCATTTCACGGACTGCATGTGGAACACGGCCTGCAGGGAAAGTGACATGGTGGTCACTGGCCTGGTCTCTGCTGCCAGCCTGGCCCTGACTTGAACAAGGAGTTACCCCTGGGCTGGGAGGGGAAGCTGGGACCCAGAACTCAACAGCGTGCTGACAGGAGACAGCTGTGAGAGAGCAGAGTTGGGCCGTCAGCTCCAGGCTCCCTACTGCTGCTGTCAGCTGCCCTAGCTTAGTGGGGGCGTCACCAGGTTGCCACAGCTCCCATCTCTGAGGGCTTTTCCTCACAGAGGCTTCTGCCTCTCCTCTCATTTGATCTTGAAATGACCTGAAGTCATTAAATGAGAAAAATGAGGCCTAGAGAGGACCGTGACGTGCTCAGGGTTGCATGGCCACATCTGGGGGACTGGCTGCCGAATGCCTAGTGAAGGAGAAAAAAACGCTCTTTCTGCTGTGCCATGCTGCTCCTGGGGACCCAGCAGGGCACCTGGGAATGCAGACAGGGCAGCCCTAGGAGCCAGAGCCATGTGGAATGTCTGCTGGTATGTGCAGAGCTTATAAAAGGATGCCACTTAGGGCCCAGACATATTAACGCAGCTCAGGTCACATCTGCCCTCAAAAGTGCTGGGCTGGGCACTGCTGCCCCTCAGCCCGCAGCTTTCTCACCTCCATGACTGCTTCTCTTCCTTGCCCTGTCCCAGCAGGCTGGCATTTCAGTGTCGGCCCAGTGCTCAGCAGAGGCTCTCAGGATGGTGGCTGTGCTGAAGCAGCCTGGACTGCGTCAGAGTCAGTGCTGGCTAAGGCCACTGTGCATCCCCACCCAGTGCTCCCTGACCTTCTGGGCTAACCTTTTCTACTTGCTCCAGGTGGGCCCGCAGCTGCTTCTGGAGGGAGTAGAGGGTGGCGAGCGGGAGTGCCTCCAGGTCTGAGAAGGCGGGCAGGGCCTGGGGGTCAGGCACCGAGTGCAGCCGCTCCAGCTCCTCCTGGAGCTTCTTCACCTGCACCTCCAGCGCGTCCCGCTGCTCCCGGGCCAACTCGCACTCGGCACCGGCTGCGCTGGCCCGCTCACTGGCCTCTTCCGCCTCCTTCTTCCAGGCATCACAAGCCTGTGGGCCCAACATGCAGCACCTCATCACAATGGCCCCTGCCCCTGCCCCGTTCCCCCAGAGAGTATCTCTGAAGCCTGTCTAGACCACTCTAACTGCAGGGTCTGCTGGGAAGCTGGGACAGCTGTCTGGGGAGCAGGACAGGGAAGAGAGGACCTGGAGGAGACCCTCCCTCTGTGGGCAGGGAAGTGCTTGCATCCGGGCCAACACCCCCAGGGGCAGCCAGGCTGCAGTGAGATAGAAGGCCCATCTCAGAACCTAAAACCCTGGAGAGTCAGGGCTTCGAGGAAGAAGCAAGTGGTCCTTGGACTAGACTTCACCAGTGGCTCACAGAGAGAGTTCGAGGCCTGCAATGCCAGCCACCCCAGGGTCCTGCCTGGCAAGGCAAATCCTCCCATGAGGGGAGAGAGGGAGCAAAACTGAGTTTCTGCTGTTCTTCAGGCGTCTGTTCTCTCCACCCGTGCCCACTCTGTGGAGGACGGCTTGGGCTGCATGGCACTAGGCACAGGGAAGGCAGGTGGGCGTGGGGCCCAGTACCTGCTTGGCCTGCTTCCAGGACTCCTCCCACTGCTTGATGGTGCCGTTGGCTTCATCTAGCTCTTGCCGAAGCCGGGCCAGCTCAGCAGCCCCTGGCCCTGACAGGAAGGCAGGGGAAGTGCCCGGGGAGAAGCTTCCGGAGGCAAAGTGCTCCCAGATGCTGCTGTTCATTCCGTTCAGACCTGCCCCAGGGAGGGGAGGAATGTCAGCGCTGGAGGGCTCTGGGCCCAGGCCCTGGCCAGCGCTGCCGGGGGCGCTTACAGGGGCTGGCTGTACACTACTGTGTGTGCGAGGCTCCAGCAATGAAAAGATGGGGGATTTTGCCAGGACAGAACAGACTGTGAAGATGCCGTGGTCTGAATCAGACCTAAACTGTAGTGCCACCTGCTACTTATTAGCTGCCACTTAACTTCTGAGTCTCAGCATCCTCATCTGTAAAACGGGGCTCCCATCACTCGCCTCATGGGTGAC